ATTTGGTGCGAATGGTCCAACATGATTATTCGGGTTGATAAATGTAGTACCTTTGGCATCAAAAAATCTCTAACAAAATCAATCCAATACTTGCCTAAACTACTTATTAACAAGCAACTAATTCCAAAGATCAATATCGGTGAGGCTTTTCAATACTTGGGAAGATACTTTAGTTTTAATATGTCAGACGAACACCACAAGTCTGAACTAATCTCACTCGTTGAAGAACTAATGGCAGATATTGATTCCAAACCATTACATCCAAAAAATAAAATCCTCCTCTACAGTCGATATCTTCTGTCCAAATTATCCTGGCATTTTACATTTTCTAGCGTATCGAAAACGTGGGTCACCGAAAACATTGATTCCAAAGTCAACAGTTATATCCGTAAATGGCTTGATATACCTATATCTGGAACGCTAAGCAGTGTTTTCCTAACCCGCAACAAGTTTGGCCTCAGTATTTGTCCCCCATCTGTCAAATTTATTCAATGTCAAACTGTTCTCCGTAAAGCCCTAAAAACATCCCCAAACGAAGCAATTAACGATCTTTGGAAAGCAACTAGCAACAGCAAAAATATTCAGTATGACGTTTATAACTCCACTAAGCAATTTCTTAAGGACTTTCGCTCTGGCCAAGAGGATAAACTGCATACTCAATTAACCTGTCAGGGCTCTTTCTTCACTAATATAACAAAGTTCTCACTGTCCAAACTCACTAAAATTTGGTCTGCGTGCCAATCGAACCTTCCGAAAAATATATTCAACTTTACAGTTCGATACATCAATAACTCCCTTCCAACGCGCCAAAATCTTGCAAGATGGGGTTTATCACCGACTTCAGACTGTTCGCGATGTCTAGCTCCTGAAACACTTCTGCACGTAGTAGCTGGTTGCCAATCGTATCTAGAACGATTCACGTGGAGACATGACTCCGTTCTAAACTTTCTCGCAACAAGCCTGCAGACCGTAAGCGGCTCACATCTTTCACGTGGATCTCCCAGGGTACAAAAGTCCATCAATCATCACTGGTGACACCTACCGTCCAGATTTGCTTCTTTCAACCTCAACCGGAACACTCTATATTGTTGAACTTACAGTTGGCTTCGAATCAAATCTTCAAAAAACGTTGAGCGTAAAAAATCAAAATATAAAGAATTAATTAGGGAACAAAATGAACATTTCAACTCAGTAAAATTTGTAAATCTTTCGATTAGTTCTCTTGGTGTTTTCAGTAAAGAATGTTCTACTTTCATAGAAATGCTTAATGATTTTGGTTTTCAAAAGCAACATCAGAATTACTGTATTAGAAGAATGACGACGATTGCAATCCGAACAATGTATTATATTTTGTTGTCGAAACAAGGAATGGATGAATCCGGAACTGTTAAGTGTTTAAACGTTGTACTGTCATTTTGTCATCTTAATAGTGTAATTTTTGCATATATAATCAGTGATTTAAGTAGCCAGTTGTAAATTACCTGATATAAGTGATTATTATTATTATTATTATATATTATCTTGAGGCTGATATGCTTAACATCGTCTGCAATGATGTCGAGGTTGAACCCGTTCTTCAAGAGTTAACTGGCGAGGTTTTACCAAGTGGAGCAAATACAGCATCCGACGCTCGCCTAGATATCCACGCTCGAGGGTTTTGGGAGAAACAAAGGTCCCCGTTCTTTGACGTTAGGGTTTGTCACCCCAACGCGGAATCCTACAAAGACCTGAGCCCTCAACAGATATACAGGCAACATGAAAACGAGAAGAGGAGGATGTATGCCCGAAGAGTGATGGGGATAGAACACGGAACGTTTACACCATTAGTATTTACAACGACTGGAGGCATGAGTGAAGAGTGCAAGAGGTATCATAGCAGATTGGCCGAGCTCATAGCAGCGAAGAAAGGCGAAGACTACTCTACAACCATGTCCTGGATACAAGCCCAGATCTCCTTTGCCATCTTTCGGTCAGCTCTACTTTGTCTCAGAGGGACTAGAGCACCCAGGAGGATAACAACGAAAGTTCAAGGAACGGACTTCGAAGTAGACAATTCTCGTGCCAAAATTTAGGCTTAAACTTTTACCATAAATTCTTACTATAACATATACTATAACAAACTACAACAATTTAGACTCACTTCCTTGTATATACTAGTAATTAGTTATTAATGTAGTAGGATTATTTTATTATTATTATTATTATTATTATTATTATTAATTATTATTATTAATTATTATTATTAATTATTATATGTGCATCAATACTATTATTCAACATTTCAAACACTCATTAATAATTCATAAGCTTATTGGCAAATCATGTCAACCATAATATGTCACGTGCAGTGGCTTTAAACCTGATAAAACACTCCTAATTAGTATTCTTTATATAAAGAATACTAATAAGGCAGTATCTATTGTTGTCGTGTCCTCATTAGTATATTTTATATAAAGAATACTAATAAGGCGGTATGTCTATCGAATTTGTAGTCGTGTTTGAAGCCGTTTAATAAACTCGCAGGTCGTGTTTTATTAGGTCTAAAGCCACTCGCGCTGCGCGCTCGTGTCTTTAAACCTAATAAAACACTCCTGCTCGTTTATTAAACAGTACATAAAAACTGACAAATACCGGCAATTTGGCTTCTGATTTCTAACAGGCACATTGTGAAGTAATGGTTTTAGTGGTGGTTCCTTATCGAGGCATTCATTCAACGATGGTACATTTGAAATCACATCAAAAACGATCCGAACTCTAGCTAGTGGCTTCAGCCGATCGTTAATAACTGGTTTATGTCGCAGATAAAACTTTCTCTCCCCTGTAGATCGCTCAGGAGCCTGCTCTACAATTCCTTGCTTCGTCTGTTCTTCTATTATACCTTATATTATGCCAACTTCGGGTTCTTCTCAAGTTTTTTTATTAATCCCTTTAACCTGGCCTTGCTTGGTAGGTCATTGGTTGGTAGAGGTGGACGCCCAGCTTTCCAAGAAAGTCGTGTGGAGTACCTACCACCTGGAAGTTGTGTGAGCTGTTCGTTAAATTCGGGAGGTCAGCATCTGAATCACCTACAAGCCCATCCTATACCCCAAGTACGTCCAAGCTGAAGAGCTGTTTATGGTCGTCTTGAGATGTTCTGGCAAAATAGAGATGACTCGAGTCCTCCTCCCCCTATCCCATAAGTGTCCACCCAAACGTAGGCTTTTCAGCCACCGGCCCGGTCATACTACCAGTCCTACACTCATGCACTAGTCTTGATTCTTGCAATGTTCCCGCTCCCAGGATGAAATGTATTGGGTGATTAAGTCGGTCGTCTTCATTGTCGAATTGGATTCCCTTGAGGTGGTGGTGTCCTTCCTTTAACCCATAGATACCCGGTTTGGTAAGTGTTGTCAAAACTGTCCGGTCTAACTTATTAATTCACTTTGAAATTTAAACTCTGACTACCATCTGTGGACTTCAGTGTATCATTGTAGCAAGGCATTTTCTGACTCACAGTGTCAGTCGTTGTTTCCATGCTTTTGTTTTCCCATTTGGTTGGTCTAATTCCTAAGTGTTTAATGACTGTTGATGAGACAAATGAATTGCCAACACTTGTGTCAAGCGTTGCTCTGAATTTCTCCCCACCTGCTACAACAACAATGGTTTGGTGTTTGGTTCCCTTGGTCTCACCAATCATGTAATGCAAGGAAGCTTTTCTTTTACAGAAAAAATAGATGTATGGTCCTTGCCACTATATTTCTTAGAATTCCTACTCTTGCAACTTGCCGGCCCATGAACTGAGCCCGTACAATTTCAATAAAGTTTGTTCTTTCGTACAGTTTCTCTCCTTTCACTAACATCTTTCACTTTGTCACAATCACTACATCTGTGGTTAGTAGAATTACAGTATACACACTTGGGTCCCCTGTTTGCAGTCCGTTGAAATTGTTTCTTCCCCCTTGGAGGTCTCCGTCCATTTTTATCGTTCCCATTGCTACCTGCATTTTTTTGGTTTCTCAGAGTAAAATCTCGTAAAGCTTGACAGTTTGGGTTCTGTTGAGTCTGTTTGGGTCAGATCTGCCTTTATGGGGGCCAACTTGTCTAGAGTTTCACTGACTAACAACTCGGATGTATCTATTTTCACCAGAGCAGATTTGGCAATGAGTTCACATTTACATTCAACAGTCGATAAAACCCATCAATTTGCTTTAAGCTAACTGATGTCATTACTGGTAAATTCATAATTTGCTTACCATGAGCTTTAAATGATCTCTGATGTAACCCCATACTTAGCCTTGAGAACTTCTTCCGCTTTCTTGTATCCATTCTGAGTGCAAGGAAGTCCTAGTATTTCGTTCATCCAGTAGTTCTCGCAAGTATGCAAACTTAGTTACAGCTGGTTTAGAGGTCTTGTTAATCTCTGACTCAAATTGTTCCCAAAAACCTGTTCCAATCTAGTCAATCTCCCATAAATTAACTTATCTTCAACTTAGGTAGCCTTACAGTGTTTTGTTCCTATTTCTAACGTTGTAGTCGTATTTCCTCGTATTGTAAATCATATCTTCGCAGTCGCTCCTGTTTTTCTTCTTCTTTTTGTAGAGTTCTTATCCGTTTCTCTTCTTTTCGAGTTTCAATATCATGTCTCTTCCCGGTTTCCTTATCGTCGTCCATCTTTTGTAGAAAACTTTCCACAGCCTCCAAGGAGTGGAGTGTTCATAACCTTCGATAACCCTATTTGGTTCAGTTGCCATTCATCAACCGCCTCTAGATCCAATCCTTGCTCAAACTTTAGCTCAATCATAGCTGACACCAAGTCATCTAATTTATTCACTTTTTCTTCCAGCTTTCCCTTATGCCGTCAGTGGCGTAGCCAGCCCGACAATTTAGCCCCGCTATGCAAAATTATTATCATTATTCATTTCTTTCTCATTCTAAAATTGTTTAAGTTTGACTGTCGAACTGCAAAGCAACTTTAAAACTGGTTTCCCACTGACTGTTTTTGCACGACTGTGACACGGTCTATGGGTGTTTCACTTTGATTTTCGCCTCCCAATAGCTTATGATTCTTCCGAATTTGACTCGCCTTGACCCCTCTTAATAGGCATATTTCCACAGTTACAACCCCTTTTCACTGTATAATCCTTGCCGTTTCACCACCTTTCTTGCGGGAAATAATTTCGCACGCAAAGAAAGTTTCACACGCAATTATATTTACTCTTACAAAATAAACCCAAAACCTAAACATGTCCGCCACAGTCACCCAATATATAAAATGTGAAACCACTCAACAAATTCCACTAGGCATCTTTATTACAATTACTTTCGTACCACAAGATGTACGTGGCACTCATCAGAAAAATTAAGCTTGTGACTACAGCAAAAAATGTACAGTATTTATGTACAAATATAACCGTTTAATTAATCGTTATAGATGTGGATGAATGTTCCAGAGGATTGCACAATTGTGGCCGTAAAACGCAATGTATCAACACTATTGGGAGTTTTTCATGCAGATGTAACCATGGTTATACTGGAAACGGTGTGACTTGCACCGGTAGGTGATGCAATCTGGCAAGTCAGTACTTCAATGATTTCGTGCTTTTTTCTTCATTTCTTTTATTTGTATATAGACATCGATGAATGTTCCTTATCTATTGACAACTGTCACCAAAACTCAAGCTGCATCAACACTTATGGATCTTTTTCCTGCAGTTGTGATAGTGGATATTATTGGAATCGGACAATTTGCGAAGGTAAAAATTTGCAATATTACATGTAAAAGATAAATTTCCATTATTGTAATTAAGAAAGTAACTGTCTACAAAATTATTTTGACATATTTTAGAATTTTGAGACATTATTGTACATTTTCCCCAATTATTGAATTTATACTTGCAATTATGATTAAATACTGTTTATGACTTTTTATATATTACGGTATATTTTGATAGATCTCTCATTAAGAGTTTGTTTTAATATATTGTATACCATTAATTTCTTCTGATATTTATAGTTTGCCGACAGGGTTGAAGAAAAATTTTTTTGCCCAGGGAAAACTTGTGGTAACTGGATTTAATTCTTTTTGCAGCGATATCTCTCAGGTTACAAGGCCCATCAAGTGAACGTGGTAAAGGCCGTGTGGAAGTATTCTACAAGGGACAATGGGGAACAGTATGTGATGATGGTTGGGATATAAAGGATGCTGCAGTTGTATGTCGTCAACTTGGTTATCTAAATGCTTTTGCAGCTCTTGGAGGGAGCTCTGTTCCCGATGGTTCTGGCAAGATTTGGTTAGACGATGTTAAATGTAATGGGAGCGAACTAAACTTGACCAAATGTGCACACAACGGGTGGGGAAGCCATAATTGCGGGCACGGTGAAGATGCTGGGGTTGAATGTTCTTCAACAGGTAAATTAACTATAATTTATATACATATATTTATATGTTTATATAAAGTTGAAAATGTTCTTGGGTGTGTATTTCTTAATTTCCAGACGGCGCGCAAGCAGAAAGATATTGCCTGCCGCGGCTGGGTTTTGAATCCGCGTCCTTCGAAATACTAGATCGACGCTCTACCAACTGACACGCTCAGACGGATTTTAATTAAGACAAGAAATTATGAATTAACATACTCGTTTGTATTAATTCAACGCCGAACAAGACTGGTTCTGCAAGTGTCCGTATATGTTATGTTGTGTCAATGCCCACTTCGCAACATGATGTGTATTTATATATGTAACAGATGGGAAATTTGTCGTCGCTAACCAAAAAATCGCGGGCAGAAACAAAGCTCCATTGCATTTACATTCAAAACAAAGCAGAAAGTTGACAAGAAGCTGTTTTAGCTGACGATATTTTGCTTTCCATTCAACGCTTTACGAATTAACGGTCATTCTTTTAAAAATCGATCATGAATTCCTTGTTTTCGGATGATTTTTTTTGTAATCGAGTGATTGGAAGAAGTGAATATGGCGAGGTGAACATGGGAGTAAATACCGTATACGTCGAGCTGTGGCTTGTTTAAAACCGTAATAAACGAAGAAAAACGTGATTTGAGAATGAAATGTAAGTTGAAATTAACTTTATATGCCTCAAATTTTCCATCCTATCTTTCTTAATGTAACTTCAGCTCTCTAAGTTCAAATAGGCAACTTGCATGTTACCAAAGCATCATGGGTAAAATGGTAACCTTCACTTGCGCGCGAAATGGCCGCCGTGGAGCGAGCATTTTTCATGTGAGAAATATAGTTTATTTTTAACACTTTTTTCGTAACGTTTGAAAATTTTAAAACAAGGGAAAACTTTGTAATGCTATAAAGTTTGTTTTGACTCAAGTACAGCGAAATCGAACCGAAAATGGACGAGAAAATTCCTGTAGAAGAACTGAGGAGCGAACAGTGTGCTCATAAATACGTTCCAGGAGGAAGGGCCTTCCCAACGTTTTAAGGTGAGCGCGCTTAGTAAACATCGGACAACTCACCATTTTAACCTACAAATTTGTGTGCGTTGTTTCTTGATGTATATCTCGTATTTTGACAACGATCGAGTGTTTCCTGCCGATTTTTTCGCTTGTTGAAATCGACTAATTTATGACAAAATGTCTGTCGATCGTTCGATCAGCATGGCGCTCAAACACAATGTTTTAAAGAGACCTTAAAATGTTTTGGCGCGAACTAAAAGCAGTTCAAACCGGTTTTTCTGCCCCGGCTCCGTTACTTTGTAAAAACGCCAAAGAGAAATCATTTTGCCTCTGTTGTCGCTTATTTTACTGCTTCCTTTGTTGTGGTCGCTTTATTTCCTGTCAAAATAAACAAGTAGGTTTTTAGTATTAAAATATTAGGCTTAAAATATATTAAATTCGTAGTTATATTAACGTAGGAAAAACCGTTTTAAATTTGCATTTAAGGTAGTAGAATATAATATAGTCAATTTTTAAAATTTAGTTATTTATAGTAAATTTAGGTATTTTAATCTTCAGGCAGGCCCTAAGGATTAAATTTGTAAATAGTGAAATAAATAATTAAGGTATAGGTTTAAATAATATAAAGTTTTTGATGGATATTGAGCCGGGTACTTCATCGGAGGCAGATAAGTATTTGGCAGCATTGGGGGATGGTTGGACAAAGAGTTTAAAGTTTATTCCTGGATTCTCGTACAAAAGATTGGAGGACCATTTGGTACTAGAAGCAAAAAAAAACACCTGATGGCAAGCCTGCTGAGACATTGAAGCACAAGAAAAGTGGATACAAACTATTTAAAGCTGGTTATCCAAGGCAGATTATGGTGAAATCCAATGTAAAGAAAGGAAATGAAGCAGTTCATTTTTTTGTACGGTGCCATGTAAATGCAGAAATGAAGAAAAAACAGTACCTTGTTTATGTCCACCTTCATCAACATTCAGGAGATATTGCCTATGCAAAATGTTACTGCCCTGCTGGCGCTGGTGGCTGTTGTAAACATGTGGCAGCTACTTTGTATCAGCTTCTCGATTACATTGAACTTGGACTCTCAGATATACCAGATGATAAAACCTGCACCCAGGAATTACAAAAGTGGCATGTCCCTAGAAAGAACACAACACAAGCAGCTCTGCTTTTCGAGGACCTCATTTTCCCCCAGGATTCGTATTATAAGGACAAAAAAGGACGTAAACGCCCAATACCAGAAGGGAAGAGGGAGGACTACTGCTCAACAAGAGAGAAGGTGTCAAAGGATGACTTGGAACGGCTTAAAACTAGCTTGGAAAAAGCAGGAAGCACTTGTCATTTGGTTGGTATCCTAGGCAACACCAATTGTGAACCTTGTGACAGCGCATAATGAAGGCAGGGGAAGTGGGTGACAAACTGGACCAAACAGCTGTCAGATCTAGTATTCTAAAAAAATTAACTCAGAATTTAGATTGTACTTGTGTTCCAGACAAGGAAAATTGTGAATATATTATGGAGAAATTGTTTGTTAATAATTAGGGATGCAGAGAGATTGAGAAGAACACGCGCAAGCAAAATGAGTGTGAAGAGTGGTATAAACAGAGAAAATGTCGGTTGACTTCATCATTATTTGGTTGTGTAGTGAAGAGGAGAAAAACAATCTACCCAAAAACTATTGTGAACAAGATTACTAAGCCAAGTCAAATAAAGAATGCAAGTTGTCAATGGGGAATCGAGAACGAACAGAAGGCGTTGATAAAGTACCATGAATATAAAGATGAAATCAACGAGCATGTAGCTCTTTGCTCAGCCTGTGGTTTAGTGGTCAATCCAATGTGGCCATGGCTTGGTGCTAGTCCAGATGCTCTCATATTGGACAAGAGAGAAGAATCAATGTATGGAGCTGTGGAGGTAAAATGCCCTGCATCTAAATCTGGGATGAGTATCATCAATGCATGCAGCGACAAGTCATTTTGTTTAGAGATAGTAAATGGAAAGCCATGTCTAAAAAAGAATCATGTATATTTTTATCAAGTGCAAGGAGTTATGGCTAGCTGCCAGTTGTGTTTTGTAGACTTTGTTGTATATACTGTAAGTGATATCCATGTTGAAAGGATTTATTTTAGTAAAGTTGAATGGGAAAAGTGTACTTTACCTGAATTAACAACTTTCTATTTTAATTATCTAATGCCAGATACTGTTACTGTATTATAACATAATTATATGTTCACATAACATAATTTAAATAGTGGACACACTACTAACTGTACTTAAGAATGTCAGAAAAATACTGGACTGAACTGTGTAGAGTCATATATAGTAACATACAGGGCTGCCGAGAGGGGGGAGGGATTGCCCCGGGTTCGGGGGGCCCTAGAAATTTTTTGTTGGGTCCCAGTCATTTTTTTGGGTGAAATATTTCCGTGCAAAGGGCAAGATATTGGGGTTTTTTGGGCAAAGTACAGAAATTTGGTATGAAAAATTGAGGTAAAGTGCCTGGAAAGCAATTACAACGTACTCATTCGGAAAATTTTTTGCCCTAAAAGAGTTGTCTATGGGGGGGGGGGTTGTTGTCCGAAAAAAAATTTTCCGAAAAAATATTTGAAATAGGAGCCCATAAAAAAATTTGCCCCGGGCCCCCGCCAAGCTCTCGGCAGCCCTGGTAACAAAGAATTCATTCTTCATGTAGTTGAATTAATGGCCTGAAAAACAAAGTTAAATATGAACAAATAACCCAAATTTTGTTTAAGTCTGCAGCCATAGATATCTGCAAGTCATGTTTGAGAATGCGAAAGCTTTTAATTCTTTGGATAACCCTCTCAACATGTATCCTGTGTTTAGCAATTCTCCTAGTTTTAATCTCATCCTCTTTTGAAAATTGTGCTTGCTCACCAAGGAAGGGGAGTATGTTCAACGACACGCCTGGTGGTAAATCATTCTCAATTTCAAAGCCTCTATCTGCCATCACTTCATCACCTGGTTCTAATAATTTCAAAATTCCACAGTCATTTGTCAGTTGTTTATCAGATGTATTACCAGCATAAAGTTCTGAAACAAAAGTTAAG